GCCCACCCGGCGGGGTTCCGGATCCAACAAGGGCTACTTGCCTGCCTGCCCATGTCAACGGGTGCCAACTCCAAGCAGTGGATAGGTAGGAATAAATCGTCAGACCGCCAAATGGTAATTGAAGTTGTTTTTATAGTCTTCTTGGTCTATGAGCTTCTTTTATTAACCAGTAGGAGCCTCTCGCTCTTTTTTGTTCCCTTAGCAAACTTTTCATGTACATATCTAGTTCATTAAAACAAGCACAGTGGTTTGATCTTATTTTCTACTGTGCATTTATCATGCAGCATTAAGTGTTCATTAACTTAACCCTAAAATCTTAACCACAAATTTCGTCAGACGCTTTCGCCATTCGGCGGCACTACGATTTATTCCCACCCAGTGGACAAATGCGATCACTTAGGAAATACGGTCTCCTGCAACATCGAAATGTACACTGTTATTACGCAATGTATATCCAACACTAGTTAGAGTTCCAGTCGACGGCGGACCGCAGGGCGCATCATATTCTCTATCTTTACAACAAAATGGAAAGTGTACACAGTTGAATAACCTCGTGGACAAGGAAAAAAGAGACTCGAGTGCTCAGCGTTCATCATTCTCAGCCATCCATATCCTATCACGGATGTGGGGGCACTCGAGGCCCGAATCTAAGCTCTTTTGCTTATCCCTCCAACACTCTAGCCATTTAGCCATGGGTACGCGAAGGGTCATGCAAAGATCACAGCGCTGCGTCTTAGGACCCAGTATGGTGCTCTCTTAGGCAGTAGCGTAGCAAACATTGAAGAACCGGTACTGGCAAAGAAAATCGAGGTTGGAATAACGATTTTCGCAGACACTCAATTCTAAGTTTGGGCAGGCCTATTATTAACGTTTTACTTTGAGCCAAAGCTGCCCTGCACCGTAGACTTGGTCGGTACTATTATTTACGCTGGGAGGGTCGTTTACAGATCATTTGCGTATTTTCATACAAACTCAGGGGGAAATTAGTTTTAGCCATAACAAATTCCAACGTCAAACAAAGCATTCCGAGTGCACGGTCGCTTTCGGGCCTTATACTGAAAGTAAACAGTTAAATGAAAGTCTGGAGCTAAATAAGCGCATCGGACCACGACAGTTGAGAAAACAAAACGTGGTCTGTGAAAGATAGTACAAAAACAGACGCTATTTGATGATCGGATATATTTTTTCTAATTGAATAAAATACCGGGAAGACACACCCGGCTTATTTGAAACCTGCCAACAACAACAGTGGAAAAGTGTTTCTCGTCTGATTCCGTAAATATAAAAGGGGGAAAATTTCCAATATTGGCCACCTATTCCAATAATCCAGGAAATGAACATGTAATACAACGGGTCATCGTGGAATTCTAAATATGGTATATCCTAACACAGCCGTAGTACGCCAATCAGTTACCAATCGAAAAAAAATTGTAACCGAAATTCGGTAGTGTTTAAGATTAAGAAGGGTTACTTAAGTGGGCTTTGGTCATTTATTATCTTGCAGCATAATCTCAAGATATTTCAACCACACCGAGATAAGCGTTTTTGCAAACATGCCTCCTTGGTTATCTGCGAACAAGACATTCAATAAAAAGGACAACTTAGTAGCATGCATTTTGCTTACTAATTTTTATGTCATTATTTATTAAAATAGAGTTTATAGAACAGGTAAACAAAAATATTTCTCCTTGTACTAATTTGATCGCAAATCTCATCTTCTTCAAAGCTTATACTTGACACAAGCGTATATTAAGGTTTTAAAACGACTTCGATTCCTTAGTTTAGGATTTTCTGGTTTATAGGCTGTATGCTTTCCACGTAAGGAGTAGAATATATTCCTATATACCATTATGAAGATACCATATAGAGGTTATAAACTTTTACATTGGACTTTGATTTTTTTGCACATAATAGGAGAGCCATTAAGAAATGGACTTAAACGTGATTTGAATACATTCTATCATAATGAGACGCGTTTTAAAAATGTGAAGGCGGCATTCCTTTGCGTATAAAGTCGAAGAAAACGCGCTTGATTCTTTCTTGTGTACCGGAAAAAAATCTGTTCGTTTACCTTTTTTTATGCAGTATATTTAAGTATAAAAAGGGCAGTGCAATGCAGTCATTTTTACCGAGTGAAGTGTTTTACATGCGGCCAAAAAGAGGAGCTTTCAAAAAGTGACATTTTCGTGCATCAAAAGAGCATTGAATTGTGTCGCATGACGATAGGCGATATAAACCACACAAACACTCCTCCCTAATTCAACATGCATTTAAGGATTCCATTTAACATTTGATGAGCTGTGTTAGAATTTTCTTCATTTCATATAGTCCTACAAGCATGTGATTGTGCATTTTGTTAGGTATCAACACTAAAGAAGGCGGGGAGGATGGAACTTTGCAGGCAATGTGTTTCACCCCACCAGGCTTAGCGTATTTATTTTCGTTTTTTTAAATCTAGGGGCGCAGCACGGATGTGAACCAGACTACCAAAATATCTTCCTCGGATGAGTGTTTTTGCAAGACCCTCAACTGACCTGATGCCTTGCAGAACGGAGCCATTCGAGGACGGACTCGTAGTTGGCATGCAAAGCGTCGTGCCAATCCACCCGGATGATACGGTCGCCAGCTCGAAGGGTGCCATTCTGACGAACAAAAAAATCACTTTCTGAGATGATGATTATAGCATGCAAGGACATTCAAGAATAAAATAATTCCTACATCTCTATTCAACGGAGGTGTTAACATGTGGTTGAAAATATGCAATTACGGCTTACTTACCAGCATGGCGGGACCGTTTTCAACCAGTTGTTTTATGTAAATACCAGGCTCGTTGGTAAAACTCTTGTCCATAATCGCGAAGCCAAATCCATTTTTGCCCTGAAATTTATAATAGCAAAAAGTAGCGTTAGGAAACTTCACAAGAAACATTCTATGAAAATACGCCTACGCAAGTCTTGAACCATTTTCATACGTTAAAATAAGAGTAGCAAACCAAATTGCCCTGATTGATTCTAACTGAAACGTTTTGATTGTTTTTAGGACCTAATCTGTGCATGGTTACAGACAATCAAAGATCCCGGAGCGCTAACGATGATTTAAAGAGAATGGAGTGAACCCTTCTAGGTTATTGGTCGATATCAACCATACTTTACCCAAATCTAGGTCAGGAGTCGTATAGGGCCTTTCAGTGCGAGCACATGGGTTAAAGCGTTGGACTTCATATTAACAGGTCGCAGGTTCGAGTTTCGCGTGGTGTGTACCACTTGCAGTTAAGACACTTGCTAATAAGTCAGAAGCGGTCATTCCAATCTCCCCCAGGTCACGAGCGGATCAGCGAGCTCGCGTCTTGACGCCCGCAGTCGGAAAAGGTTTAAGGTGTGTAAGTGGCTATCTTCACCGAAATTAGCCAGATTATGGCAAGGCGTATACGGGCAGTAGGCAACCGCCGTAGCCGGTTGACTGTAATTTATTTATTTATTGCCGGCTTACAGACAATTTTAAAAATTGGGTTAATTGGTAAAGCAGCTCTTGGGCGCCTTCCAAAACCTCGAAAACAGGAAGAAACCTAAAACCTAAAAACCTAATGGAACCATATGTTATGCCAGCACTGATTTTTTATAGCTAAGAACTTGTAACTGCAACTACCGTAGTCAAAAAGGCGGAACCGGCAAATATCCCTTCACTGGCAAATGTCCGATCAATGTTTTGCTTCATGAATTGCTCGGGAGTACTTC